TTATTCCTTTAATAAATGATTAATAATATTTTGAATATCTAGTTTAAAAGCTTACACTTATATCTGACAGCCATCACTGTCAGCTAGCTGACTGATTGACCACTCTGAGGGGAATAACATATATTTAGGATTAGACTTCATCTCCCAACAAATAAGGGAATTAAGGTGGTGGAGATTTGGCTTTGATGGCTAGTTCGTGGTTTCCCAGGATCAAATGATTCCATGTTTTTATATTTTTTATGTTTTCTAGTAAAGAAATGAGATATATATCACAATTAGACTCTATTTTCCAACAATTAGGGAATTAAGGTGGCGGAGAGCTGGCTGTAACGGCTTGTTCGTGGTTTCCCGGTATTTTATTTTTACTTTCACGTTTGCTAATAAGGCATCAGATATATTCAAGGATTAGGTTCTGTCTCCAACAAACAAACAAGGGAATTTAGGTGGTGGAGAGTTGGCTGTAATGGCTAGCTCGTGGTTTCCCGCTCTTTTTTTTGCTTTTTGACCTTTTTGCCACCTTTCCTCGAAGAGATTTGCCTCCCTATAGAGTTTAAACTCAAACAACTCTGAATACTTTCATGATTAGATATATTTAGATGAATCAAATCATGTGCCATTGATCAATCTAACTGTAGTGACAATGAGATGGATAACTGTCGGTATAGTCATCTACTGTACCGGAGTACTGGCACCGTACTATCGAAGGGCTAGGGCAAGCCTTAGCGAAAGGGCTTCAATACACATATAGTCTCCATCATGTAGAATAGTAATCAACAAGCTTTTTATTGATATCAACACTGAACACCCGTCGGACTTTCTACCATCGTAGATCTGAAAGGTGTTCCCGTTGATACCAACAATAACAAATAGTTTTCTTTTGATGGGTATAGAAGCCTATTGTGGGTGACAGTGAGGATGCTCTTCTCCTTACAGGAAGGTGCTCTTCGTATTCAGCCAGCAACCTTCAAACTTTTCTTCTCTGTACACCAACGCTTATAACTCATCTTGATTGAGTAAATATGTTCATGATTTCATCCTCATTCTTCACCCAAATAATAGTCATGGCAATTATCTTTTTACGATTCAAAGGAGCTTTGGGAGAAAAGCTGTCTCCTTTCAGAGGGATTATTTCGGAGAAAAGTAACAAGATGGAGAAGCGGACAGGAAGAATATTTCTAGCGTGCGAGGGGTGGAACTGTTGGGCGGAGACTGGATTTGAGTTGATTACGATCGCCTGCTAAGAGAATTCATACGTATAGATACTTCCAAATCTCAAGTGACTTTGCATTCTCACCTAGCTTCACTTGACCAAATAAATCATAATATCTCATTGTAATGAAAAATCGTACAATTATCCTTGTCCAAGTGTGTTTGAAAATCTAAACAGCTTCAATTATTCAGCGATGATCAAGGATACAGATAGCTCCAAACATTCCAGATGTTCCGGTGGTTTTAAATGTTCAAGTCATTCCGAACATTCATCACATGAATTCTTTTTTTCCCCTTTAAGCTCCTCAGATTCTACTGGATTTATCAATTGTATCTGGTTATAGATGTTAGGACAGGAGCTTAAACCACATAAGATTCCGATGGTCACATGAGAGATGAATCTCCCATCTTTTCTGGCGGGCTTGGTACAATTCTATAATCTCATGTGAATCATCTTATCCAAATTGGAACGAGTAGCCTAGATCGCCATTCAACGTTAAAGTTTGAAATTCCAGGACATGCAAATGAATCGACATGTATGTATGCTGGCTTCACACGAAAGCAAGCTGGGTGGAGGAGCCTATGCCTACCCTATACCGTCCCCTTCAAGCCTAAGTCACACTCGATTGAGCAATGTGTCTTTTTGTAAACTACGGCAATAGATGATCCGAATATATATGCAGCTAAGCCGAATTTATCTAGCTCCAATGGAAATCGCCTTTACGTGAGTTCTAGTCTATTTAGAAATCGACTCTAAGTTTTGATTTATTTAGTTACCTTTCATCTCATTTATATACCGGTAGCTGCCTTCGAAGCTCAATTTCTTTCTTTTCCGTTCACTCAGACACGATCTAAAATCAGAAAAGCAAGAACGACACACTCAATATGACAAAGAAGCATGGTAAGTTCATCTTCAGAGCAATGAAATGGACGGAAATACATCTTCTGCATCTGGCAGTGGTGCCATATGAACAGCAACGGTGCTATATGTGAGATTGAATCATTTTCTAGTATTGTATTGATTCAAGGAGTGTTGATATCATTGTAGGCAGCATCATCCTATCTAAATTTGGCACCAGATTCGTAGAACTGGCTGAACTGGAGTGACGGACCAACAAGGGATGCATTTGCAGAGTTACCCCTCTCCGAACAGGATGTAATCATCATGGCACAGGAGAGAATTGAAAATTGGGATAACCTTGCCCCCCTCGCGTTCGCTGATGTCGGGCTCACAAAGGAAGAGAGTGCGGAAATTTACCAGGATTTGATGGACACCTCGGAGCCAGATGATTAGATGTACTCGAGTATAGTTGCATGAATAAGGGAGTTTTTGAATTTATGGCTATTCTGTAACCACATAAAACACAAATTACAGCCGAGTTATTGGGTCATCTTGCTTAACTTTTACATTGCCTGACGCTTTCCAAGTGATGAAGGCTCGCTGTTGCGGGATGATTTCGTGAAGCTAATCGTAGACTACAACTAACGTCTTATTATTTAGCCAAACCTTATTTTCAATTCTCCATAACCTTAATCAAACCATCGACTCGCCACCCAACGGCTTGAACTATCTGCCCAATGATATTATAGTTCATAAACCCAATCCAACCTCGACTAAGACTAGCCCCTATTTAGCCGAGACCTTAACCAAAAATAGCCCCACGCCATCACGAGCCCCGACTCACTAACTCACCAACTCTTGAATTACATACCGAAGGCGCTCTACGAACTTATTATAGCCTAACATGATCACATGTAATGATGTCATATCACAAAGTCCCTTGGCCAGACAGACTACAAAGTAATTGTAAATTCCATACCTTCACTATGCCAATGGAGTCGCTGGCTTGTTCACTGTTTCCAGCATTACTCCGAAAGCTCCAACAATTAGTTACTTAGAATTCTAACAAGGGAAAAACAAAACGTGAAGATAAGCACTACGTAGAGCCAACAAGACATGCCTTCGATCGCCATTATTCCTCTTTCCCTAAGATTGAAGATGAAGGTAATTTTTTCGAAGATTACGAGGGGGGAGAATGAGGGATAATCGAAACACGAAAACAATAGAAAGAAAAGAAAGCGAATGAAATAGGAGAGGAAAATATCGTGAACTTCTTCCGATGATGCTGATGTGCCAAAAACCTCAAAACGTTCGTTCGGCAGCTGAAAAGTGTTGAGTACAGTCCGAGTACGTTTGCATGTATTCACGCCCTTCACTCAACCATACTCCTATATAAATATATAAATCCCCGGAAGAGAGATCCTGAGCCTACTGTCTGGATCCAGAGTTCCAATTGCCGTTTCAATCTATCAAAGTTGCCATCGGTTCAAGAAATTAATATTTCAAAAAATAAAGAGCGCCTTCACAGACTGCAGTGGCCCGGCCGGCATTTCTGTTTTCGCATTTTTCATTATTTATCAATACTTTTCTTGAATATGAGATGCAATCCGTCGAAAAAGAAGTTTACTTTCTTGCGAAAGCCGAGCAGTACTAGTATACTCGTATACTCGTATGGAAAGGAGGGATTTGGGCCTATTAGAGAGCGAATATGCGCCGTGCCGTCGACTATTTGGCAATTGTAAGATCTTATACTGAGCGAGAGTGATTTGTACCAGTTTCTCATGACGAAGCTATTAGTTGTAGGGGATATTGCAATACCATATATCTCAAGTGAAAGATGTATGAATTACATCAAAGACTACAGCACTGATACCCGATTTTAAAGCAACGTAAAGAGATAATTTGTTGTATGATAACTGTTTTGGTTCTCTTTTAGGGTCTTACTGCACTGTGACAAATACTCCTTTATCTCTTGATTTTAAACTACACATACTTTGAGAATAGATGTACTGCACACATGTATCTTACAGCTTTTAACATCACATTTCACCCTTATTTTCATTCAGTGCTCGGAAAACATACAGTCTATATATGTGGTTACAGAAAGCCTTTACTTCTTACATTCACGTAACCCTCATGAATCTCATCGCCTCATTTCAAATCTGTCCAAGTGGGTGCTTTTTTCCAGTATAAAAGATACACAAGTTCATGTGCTATATTTCTAAACTCAAGATAAAATGTCATCTAGGAGAATACTTGAACAACTCGAAAAAGTCAGGAACCCGGAATCTTCGTAAACCTAAACCCAAAAAGAAGGAAGTAATCACAGTACCTCTCTCAAACTTTAACCAATAACAACATACCACCAGGCAAGACTAAAAACTCCCCCTTACTCAATTGTAATTTACACTTGCTCATCATCATTATTCCACACATCACAATATTCCCTTAACTTAAGGAGGCAACGTGTACTTTTATCCTCTTACAAGTATCTATCAAAGCACATTTGGTTTCGTAAGTTTTCTCCAAGAAGCCTTGACGTACATAACCTCAACAATTACTCGAGTACTATGATTTCATACGAGAAAAGCTATCTATATATACTAGCCGCGGCCGCCGAAAATCTTTTCGAAATCGGCAGCACCTAATATTGCAAAACTTCAAAACTTCAAAAGCAGAAGGAAAGTGGCAATAAACAATCGCGAGCGCGGCGAAATGATTAATAAAAACTTCGGTCCCGAAATAGTGAGGAAGATGGTGGTTTATTGGATAATTGGACTCGAAATGAAGTTTGATTTGCACTTTCTAGTGGAGAGGGGAGAGGGGAGATTTGGAGATGATGGTGATACTCGAGACTCGAGTATATGAATGATAGGTATGTAGTACGAAAATGAACTTTCCAGAAAACCTGATGGTATATGTATATATACTTGATATGGTAAACATATTATCAGGAATTATCTGACCAGGCAATGACACGGGACTTGCAAATTTACTTTGATGATTTATTATCATGCATAGGATAGAATGTATGAGTATAGCAATAGATACGAGGACATAAAACCGGTTCTTAGTAGTTTATTATGGGATATAATATAATGTATATCTATATCATAGACATTATTGAGCCAGTTTATTCGGTGTCAGTGCCTTAAAATCAGGGTTAATTGGATACGGTATTTCTCGAGTTGATGTATCCCCGGACAGTGAAGTATGACCACATGTCCGCCAGAGCCATGTCACGCCAGCTACCATGCCATGGGAACTGTCGGTTGTCTTGTCGAATGTAGTGCCAATGCAAGGATAAAATCGAACGTATGTTACCAGAGTTCAGCCTGATGACTCAGAAGGAAAGAGCTACTATTGGATTTATTTTGGGAAAATACCTAATCGGTGGTCCCGTAGACTACTAGGTACACTTTGGCAGCAACACAATTACCGATGTCCTCGGACAGGTCACCGCCAATACAAATGATCTCTTGGAGGTGAGTAGCACAGTATTCAAGTAAATCCGGGTTCTATACCAACTCTTCTCAGTAAAGAAAGAAGCAGGAATAGATGAAGCAGCACATTCCTGCACGTCATTTGTGCCGACATAATTCAAAACCTTAGGGGTTTGTTTCATATTTGCCGGGACTACCGAGCTGTTTCTGCGAGCAACCAAGCTAGACCTTTCATGATATTGGCTAGCTGTGCGCAGGTAATAGCTACTACACTAGACTCCATTATACATCCACCGTATTTAGCATTCGAAGTTTCGCGTCTCATTCGCTTGACCAAATGCGGAAGAGCGTTTTGCTATTGTGTAATATGGTCGTATTCCATTGCTATGATGCAAAAGTTCAGTTGAAAGGATAATGTTTGGAAAAGCTCAAAAACAATCAGAAAAGGATTGAAACAAAAGACAAAAGTAATCATCGCTAGGTATGTGACGTGACTTCGAAACAGCAATAACCAACTTGATTATCGCGTTCCTTTTAAAGTGGCTGAGGTTAATATTGATGTTGTATGCTGCCTGGTATTGTTGGACGCAATCCATTCCGATATATTGATCATGAGAGATGATGAATTGATTTTTGGGGTTATTGATAGTCGGTGTAGAAGGGAACGAGTAAAAACAATTACTGGATATTAGGCTAACTGTTGGACCTAATCACCAAGCTCTGCTCACTGGCCGGCTGGCTCGGATTGTAAGATTCAGATAAAAAGACGCTTTTGGATGAGATACTTTCTCAATCCCAAACACAAGCCGAAATTAGCATCTTCATGTGTGCTTTTCATGGATTATAAAAATGATTTAGTCGAGTAGAGTAAATAAAATCTTCTGACAAGCATATAATTTGAGCAATTTGGCTGTCCAATGTAATGCAGAAGAATAATATAATGGACTCGATCACTTTTCTTTTCTGGAGGGTGTATCATACATATCCTCTGCTCTTCTTTTCGCGTCGAATGTCCAAAAATCAATGGACTAGAATTTTGATACTGATAGATGAGCTGACCAATATCTCATCCCCGCTTAGATGTTGTCTAAATGGATCAGTCTGGCGTTGGGGCCCCTTTAATAGTTTTTGTTCTAACGGAGATATCGGTGTTAACTCAATATATGAAAAGCTTAACTCATCAATGTGCCGAGGAAGCAGACAGGAGATCATGCATAATGTCGTCGTCAAGCTTAAACGAGGTTCTTTGATGAATTCCGGGTTAGTACTAGAATCGAGCTGAAAGTCATCGGCCGCTGGTAGATCGGTTAGTAAGTAAGCAACGCACACACAAAATTGTTGATGATGGCAATATCTTAAAAAGGATTTATTTGTCTATTAGTAATTACTGTACACAACTCTTATCTCACCTCTCACCGGCCGAGATATACACAACATCAAACAGATAAAGGCAAACACAGCATAATAATAATTTCTTGGTATTTATTAGTCCTTGTCCAAGCTGCATTCGGTGACTCGGTAATTCGGTACTTGTACATACCACTCACTAGCTTGTTCAAGCCAAGACAAGCCAAGAGCCTTTGGTGGGGGGTAAATCCAAGTTGCCAGCCTTACCTATTCTAATAGCTTGAGGCTATGATTTGATAATCCACTATCAACAACCTCGTTCAGTTCTTACAATAATACTTCTTTCGATATTGCTGTCGCAAAAGATTGCAGAGATTTCTAATGAAATTTGCTTGACGAAAGATTCTTAAGCTTCATAGTTTGCGCCTTCTTGAAACCACATAATAGACGGGTGGCGATACTTTTCAAGTTTCTGTAACTGAAATCGAAGTATCAAACAAGACTTTGACCACCGGCACATTTTAAGCCCCCCCCTCTCCTGTGAGTAGTTGGCTGCTCAAAATTCTCACATTTCTTTGATGCAATGACTGACTGTTCATGCAGAATACGTGATCGTATATTGATATCATATCATATACTGTGCATGGGATACTACATCTTCCCTAAACTCCCCGAACCCCTCTCCCGACAAATCATAATATATCCCATTTAGGTCGGCGGACTCCCCGAAAGACCATAGGAAATAACTCATACGTCGAAACTGCGAGGACGATTTCCAACCATATTGGTTACCGGTTTGCGCTTCATTTGTTTGCCTATTAGAGAAGGCGAAAGGGGAACGTCATCAAAGCTATTCTTGGAGATTCGGTCTTTCGCGCTACCGACCCTGTCATCCTCGGGAACCTCAGTAATACTCTGAGTTGCCTCTGAACTGAAGGGTGCGATCGATAGTGTGAGTGTGAGTGCTTAATTGTTAAAGAAAGTGTGTGTGCAATCGGGTACAATCGTGAACACTCCATAGGGTCTGATAAATCATTGACAGGAAAGAAGTATCTGTGGAGGTTTGGATACAAGAAAGAAGATATTTTTCGAATTTGCCATCTTACCCTTTGACAAGAAGGGAAGCTAAGTTGCTTCGCTCTGTCATCATAAGCATCAAGGGGCCTAGCTAGACTTTTGAAAGGAACCATCAATTTATAAGTGAGATTTCAGTGCAGTCAAACACTACCGAGTGGACATAAGACTGTTTGTCATCTGCAACTATACTTCTATCTCCACCACTTGTTTCCAATAGGGTTCGCTGGTTCTCCCACGAGATAGCGGGCTGCTTCACCATTCGAACCAGGGGGTTGATCGTCTGGACGCCTCTTCTTCCTACGCTTTCCATTGGCCACTTCAATCAAAAAAAAGTATCGGCTTACCCCGACTCTCTAGAGGTGGGAGACTGATAAACATATTCTGCATTTGGACAAGGCCCACTCCTGTGAGCTTTTGAGTAAATCAAAACATTGGCCTTGGGCTTGCCTCTTCCATTTCTCTTCCCAAATCAATAATTTTTATCATCATGACTCCTACACCCCCTTCCACTACATCTTCAAGCGCCGGAGGTCACTCTCCAGAAGGCCAATATCGGGTTGTACGAAAGAGAAACAGGATTCCCCTATCATGTGGGCCTTGCCGGCATAGAAAGTGAGTCCGATCGTTCTATTCCGTTAGCACCTAGTCCATCTGGCACGAATATACTAATTCTCCTTACGAAATAGGTTGAAATGTAATAGGTCACATCCATGCGAGAATTGCACGAGGAGAGGTGACGCTTCCTCGTGCTCGTATGCTTCACCGGGCACACGCAAGAAGAATCAAAGTCAAGGAGCAACTAGTCCCGATGATATGCAAAATCGTATTGACCGTTTAGAAGGCTTAGTCTTATCCTTGATGACAAATGGTGCCTCGTCTGCAGGCCCAGTCGCCGCCGTTGCTGCCATTAACCGTTCTCAAAGCGATAGTGCGGCTTCATCCTTTCCTCCCGATCTGGAACAAGACGACGACATGATCAAAGAAGAGGATGATGAAGATAGCGATGTGGATGGTGTTGCTAACTCACTGGGTGTAATGAAAGTTGATCCCGATAAAGGAAAAACAACATATTTAGGAGATTCGCATTGGCACTTGGTCTTAGCAGATGTATGTTATAAATTTCATTTTCTTCGTCAATACATGATTTCATCAAAACGAACGCTTTGGCTCAGTGCAAATCTGCGAGTCGCTAGACCAGCCTCTCGGGTTTAATATTTGGACAAGACGACTTTAGGCAATGATCAATTTAAGCAAATCTGCCGGTCCTAATCTTGTGATTTATGATTTGAATAAAAAACTATTACTGACTTGTGAAAAAGATCGCAGAAGTTAAGAACTATTTCAATAGTCACAAAAAGGAACTCGAAAACAAATACGAAAAAATCAAATCTCAAAAGCCACATGCCAGTGATGGTCCTACATTTCTATTCGGTGCACATACACCGGCTACAGATGATGATATCCGAAAGGCACTCCCTTCCAAATCCGAAGTTGATAAACTCGTCACGAGGTCCGTCTATAGCTATACTCTAGAAACGAAGAGTTGACTGATTTGTTCATTAGATATTTCAACACATACGACCCGGCTCTACACATCATACACTCTCCAACTTTTCACAAGGAGCTGCAAACTCATTGGCAAGATCCGGCGAAAACCTCGATAGTATGGATCGGCCTTTTGTATTCAATTCTCTGCTTAGCCATGCAGTCATACCAAAAGATTGGGGATGAACCACCGGAATGGAAAGGTAGACGGCCCATGTTCCTTATTCCCACCTTTGTTCTACTTTTCGTGTTCTGTCTATACCGGCTTCCTCTTCATAATGCTAATTCTTACCTAGGTCGTACTCTTGATGTAGCTGGTGAATTTAGGCTGCGCACGGTCCAATGTCTTGTAAATTCCGATTATACCAAGTCATCACTCTACACGATTGAGACGTTGATTCTATACGTACACGGCGAATATTCGAGCCGGTGGGATGCTGAAGTGGGGCTTTGGGTCATTATCGGCATGATCACTCGACTATCGATGCGGATGGGCTATCATCGGGACCCAAGCAATTTCCCTGGTATCTCTCCTTTCCAAGGTGAAATGCGTCGTCGAATATGGGGATTTGTCCGCGCCTTGGATACGATGTTCTCCTTCCAATTAGCACTTCCAAGTATGATCCGTGATAGCGACTGTGATACAAAACCTCCTCGCAACATATTTGAAGATGAATTCGGTCCGGATTCGAAAGTTTTACCACCCGCGAGACCGAATACCGAGCCTACTCCTATATCCTACATGCTCGCCAAAGTCAACATAGCGATAGAACTGAACTGCATCCTAGAGGAAATACAAAGTGTCAATCCTAAGGGCATTGCGTATGATGATGTTCTTGCACGCGATACTAAATTGTGGGAATTGAAGCGCAATCTTGCTCCTCATCTTCGAATCCGACCCTTGGAAGAATGCACGCATGATCCTGCGACACTTTTGATGCACAGATTCAATGTGGATATCATGTGGCAGAAGACTATGTGTGTCCTTCATCGAAAATACCTTGCACGTGCGAGACAAAACCCTCGCTACAATCATTCCCGTCAAGCCTGTGTTGATGCTGCGATGCAAATTCTTCGACACCAACACAAACTTCATCTTGAATCCAAACCTGGGGGACAATTGCGCTCAATGAGATGGGCCATTTCATCCCTTACCAAGCATGATTATCTACTCGCTGCAATGATAGTATGCCTAGAACTTCATTATGATACTCTTTCGAAATCGAATCCCCAGGGTCTGGCGAACGATAGACATTTCTGGAAACCAGAACAACTTACCGATATGCTCAAAGCTCTTGAAACCTCCCAAAAAATCTGGAGTGAGACCATGGGAGAATCGATGGAGGCATTTAAAGCATGCAAAACATTGAATATCATTCTCGAGAAGCTAAAGGCCAGCCGGGCACCAGCCACTACTCCTTCTACCGCACCTATGACCACCGCCGAAGCTTTCTCACAATTCGATGATGAAAGCCTCAGACCCGAGCACTCGGCGGCTATGACTCTGGGCATGCTTTCTGGTGGTCTATCGCCGAATTCGGCAGCTATCTTGAACAGCATGGGTCAATCTTCAACAGGATATGCCAACATGGACTTGAACATGACTGAATCGAGCGGAAGCGGTCTCACACCATTCGCACTCGATAATAATATGAATCCTTTCGCCACCATAAATGCCGGCGCATCTCCCTTTTCCATGTTCGGCAACGCCGGTAATGCTCCTGGGATGATGGATCTGCCGGCAAATATCGACTGGGTAAGTTTTGAGTTTTAATTCATGCGGCTCTTCCATCTGAGCTTTTACATGGGATGGGGTTGATTGTACAAAATACTGATTGAGGAATAGGAACAATGGGATCAATTTATCGGCAATGGAAATGCTATTGATCCGGCCTTTCAATTCTATCCGACGAATCTGGAACCTTCACCTCCTGGTGGGGACGGCCAACAACAACAACAACAACAACAACAATATGACCCGTCAAATCCATTCGGTGGTCCTTTTATGGGGGCAAATACTCCGGGGAGATGAATACCTACCTAGGTAATTAGCGAGATGTCTATCTATCTATCTATCCATCTATCAATCTATATCATAAGTTTTTTGGATAACATGATAGAAAGATTGATGAAGATATTTATTTAGTCTAGTCAAGTCTAGTCTAGTTTAATCTAGTCTAGTTTAGAGCCGTTATACGGTTATACATATCGGTACTAATTGACATACATACTCCTACGAGTGTGAGTGTGTGTGTGAGGAAGGCAGGAAGGCAGGAAGGAAGGAATCAGCTTTATGTATAAATATCATGTATAATGTACAATGTACAATGTATATTTGGACGGACTAACCGCGTGCATCATATTACGTTGGTATGTTATGTTATGGTCAAGGCTTTTTTTTTTAAGAAAGGGGAACCGAAACCCGGGAGTTGGCGGTTGGGCGGTTGGCGTTGGAAGGAAAACTCTACGAAATAAAATCAAAGTAATTGAATATTAAATATTGTAAAATTGAAATTTTGTAGATTTGGAAAAGAAAATATGTTTAATGGTTGGGTGGGTGAGTGTCTTTGGTGTATGTCTTTGGTGTGAGGGGATGTGATGTACTCGAGTACGGGTGGTGATTATGTAGCTCAAAGGGGGGAGGAGGGTAAACCTCAAGGGGCCAAGAGTTAGGTGCGTTTTCTGTCTAAACTCGGATGCAGAGTCTGTTTTTGTGGCGTGAACAGGAGTCCTACTTTACTCCTATTTTTTACTACCAGCTATTTATTAGATGGCACGGCACTAGGGGTATGTGTAAGATATAGGTACTTATCAACCTATCTATCTATCTACCAGCTAGCCAAATAAACAACGTCAAGCCAACGCCGCGGCCAATTGTACATGGTGGATATACACGCACTCCCCTTTTTAGTTCCCTTACCATTCATTCGTACATTCAACATCGCTCGGGTATTTCAATATCTTCTTTCCTATCCAGGCTATGCCATTTGCCCATTGCTTAATCTCTCCACACCTGATTTATCAACTTTAATGTTCCAGTTCGTCCATGGGAATCTCCTCGATGTCCTTTCCTACGATTCCTTCCGAGACCTTCCAGATTTGAATCAGATTGTCTTCCGCTGCGCTGCATACTACCCATGGTTCATTTTGATTCCAGCTAAAGTCCGCAAGATGATTGGTGTGACCTCCGTGCATGAATAATCTATTTGAGATTAGAATTTTCTCATCTTCAAGTTCAAAAGGGGGAAAAACTTACAATTCAGGAGGGCCGTCCTCTTGGTCATCTGGCATTTGCTCCATACCAACTCTGCTAAGATCCCAGAAAATGACCCTACGATCATAACTGCCACTTCCCAATACAGCTTCTTCAGTTGGATGCCAAGCGAGCGAAGTAACAGCGTCCATGTGACCTTCAAGGGTGTGAAGTTTTTCTTTAAGATTTCTCAAGTCCCAAAGACCGATGGTCTTGTCTGCTGATGCGGTTGCCAAGACAAACTCTGATGCGGGATTGAATGCGAGGGCGTTAATGGCATCAGTGTGTCCTTTTCCTTTGCTAACTGATTTATCTGTATCTTTTTGTCTAATATCGAGGATTTGGAGGGTCAAATCATCTGAGACTGTTCCGATCAGGGATTTGTGGAGAGGGTGATATTGAACATCGTTAACGATGGAAGTATGATGGGTGTAAACTTTGCTCGATTTCAATTGGTGACCATTTGCTTGTAAAGTATTAAGATCCCTGGTAGAGAGTCAGTGGAGTTTTAAATTTCAGAGCTTGATTTTGCCTACCATAACCGGACGGTTTTATCTTCGCTACCAGTCGCAAGCTCGCCAGCAACGTGTGGATTCCAGCCTAGACCAAAACCTTCCTTCTTGTGTCCTACGAGCTCAATTTGTGGGCTAACAACACCTTTAGGAAGACTGCTGTGCTTCGTACGGTCGAAGATCAGAACTCTTCCATCAACGCACATAGTAGCTATGATGTTGGGATTTTGTGGTTGGTATCTGGCTTTATTGACCTCTCCCGGATGATCAATCTTCTGTTCGATGCTCATCTTTATCGCCGCCTGTTCCCCTAATGATGATTTTCCATAACCTCCAATCTCTTCGCGATCCTCGTCGTAATCAACGTGATTTGGAGTGACATTTTTGGGCAGCTCGACATTTGCAATTTGTAGATAATTCTGTGCGCCGTTCGATGTATGGGTGCCAATAAGAAGTCGATGAACGGAATAGTTTTTTCCTGCTGGTCTTGAGGTTATCAGTAAGGTTCAAGATTGAGAACCGGACTACACTCACTCTTTCACATCAGGAAACCATTGAGTAGTTAAGGTGGGCCATTCGAGTGCAGTGCTATAAGATCGTTAGTTCTAGCATAACGCCAAAGATCGTGATATCCTATACCTTAGAATCATATCGTAAAGGAAAGGGCTGTTCTTCTTCCATGTTTTGTACTCTGAGGGCAAAATTTAGTCAAGGTTCCTCATTTCTCGGGGTAAGAATTAGTACCCTCGTTGACAATCTTTTGTTCCATATCTTCATTAACATCTTCGGGTCGGCTCACTTTTTAATTATTAGCAAGTTTCCTCAGCCAAAATCTAAGCATATATAACGCAATGCACTGCACTGCACCGCAAAAGCGAAACTTACTATTCATACTATGATCTTCTGATTGAGGGGCCATATTGGCGATTATGATCTGGCTGAAGTATATTGATGTCTGGTGTAAAGTTTCGCCTTGTGGTTCTAAAAGCTGAAGATATCTGAGGAATTTGTAAATAGTTCTCTGAATAAGTCGTACTAAATTTGTCTTTCGTGTTAAAAAGAGCTCTGCAGCCAGCTAGGAAGACGCGCCCCAAAGAGTCGCGATGGGTGGGTCGCTTATAGTTTGAGGTCGGCCCCCGACGGCCGCTAGCGTTGATTGTGACGTGAAGTGAGTTGGAGAGCTTGTTGATGTCCTCGAACGAAGACGACCATATTCCTTTTCTTGATCTTTTGAAGAGATTATTTCTCAAGAATTTACCACCTTTACCTCCACCAAGTCATCCGTGGCAGTCGATAAACAAGAACTATCAACCTCTTCATCCTACATAGGTGCTAAGTTTGTATTATTTTGCACCCCTCGTTCCACTTTGCGGTAGAAGTAAAGTGCGCCACATCAAAAAACACAAACTCCAAATCGCAAACCTTCTATAAAATCCGAATCGTATCGCATACACAGCGCATAATTTTTGCATCATGGGTGTTCCAAAGTTCTTCAGATGGATGAGTGAGAGGTATCCCTCAATCTCGCAGTTGATTGCGGAGAATAGAATACCAGAGTTCGACTGTCTGTATTTGGATATGAATGGTATCATTCATAATTGTACACACAAAGACTCCGACGATGCGACCTTTCGTATGACAGAGGAGCAGATGTTCATTGCAATTTTCAATTACATTGAGCATCTTTACGGGAAGATTAAGCCAAAGCAGCTTTTCTTCATGGCTGTGGATGGAGTGGCTCCTCGCGCAAAGATGAACCAACAACGAGCTCGAAGATTCAGAACGGCATTAGATGTTGAAAATGCTAGAGAGAAGGCAATTCAGGAAGGAAAGGAAATGCCCAAAGAGGAGGCGTTTGATAGTAATTCAATTACACCAGGCAAGTCGTTTTGAAAAGGTTATATCATCAAGGCTAATTATTTTCAGGCACGGAATTTATGCAAAAGTTGACTCTTCAACTAAAATACTTCATTGCGAAGAAGATCTCGGAGGATGTGGATTGGCAAGGAACCGAGATTGTGCTCTCAGGACATGAGGTACCAGGAGAGGGAGAACACAAAATCATGGAGTATATTCGCCTCAAGAAAGCACAACCGGATTATGATCCTAATAGACGTCATTGTCTTTATGGTTTAGATGCAGACTTGATTATGTTGGGATTGTTGAGTCATGACCCTCATTTCTGCCTCCTTCGTGAAGAGGTTACCTTTGGCAGACAGAGCAAAGCTAAGTCAAAGGAGTTAGAGCATCAAAATTTCTATTTGATGCATCTGTGCGTTGTTAGAGAGTATCTAGAACTGGAGTTTCAGGAGTTAAAGGAAGAGGGGGTTCTAGGGTTTCCATTCGATCTCGAGCGCGTTATTGATGATTTTATCCTTATGGCGTTCTTTGTCGGGAACGATTTCTTACCGAATCTTCCGAATTTACACATTAACGAAGGAGCATTGGCCCTGATGTTCAAGGTTTATAAAACCATTTTGCCTAAGGGTGGTGGATATATCAATGAGGGAGGAGTCATCAACATGAGCCGACTGGCAATCTTGTTAGATGAACTATCCCACGTTGAGTACAGATTTTTTGAATCGGAGAGTTCAGACTCATCATGGTTCAAGGCTAAGCAGATGTCAAAGGAGGATGTCATGATAAAAGGCAAGAGCAAGGGTAAACTTGTCATGACCACGGCACAACAGCAAATATGGAAACAAGTCAAATCCTATGTTCAAAAGAGAGGAGAAGAACCCTTGGATCTATCCGATAAGTTGCCCGCAGCGGATAGGAAATTTGCGCAGGACTTAGCAGAGAGCCTACACCTGGAATGGAAAACAATTCAGGGTGATGATGGCGAACGTCACATGCAGCTTTCATTTCCTGCTAAGTTGAGTGCCGACGACGAAGAAGACGACGACGAAGAAGAAGAGTCTCAACTTGCAATCATGCGAATTGTTAAACGATACGACAAAGCAGACGTTCTCGATGTTACTAAAGAACAAGCACAAACTGAGATGGACCGTAAATATGAGGAGAAGTTCCAAGAATGGAAGGACAAATATTATGAGGGCAAGTTTGAATGGGATAGAAAGAACGAAACCGAGTTGACGAAGTTGTGCGAGAATTACGTCCAGGGTTTACAATGGGTTCTTTACTACTACTATCGTGGCGTGGTATCATGGCCGTGGTATTACCAATATCACTACTCGCCCATGATTTCTGGTAAGCGTTATATCCGCGGAATTCCTCATTACTCAGCTAACAATATTACCAGACGTCATAAAAGGACTCAAGGCTGATGTTGATTTCAAGCTTGGTCAGCCGTTCCATCCATTTGAGCAACTCATGGGTGTGCTACCGGATCGTAGTAAAAAGATTGTACCAACCGTGTATCACGATCTTATGACCAATCCCGCCTCTCCTATCATCGACTTCTACCCTCGAGATTTCGAGCTGGATATGAATGGAAAGAAGATGGAGTGGGAGGCCGTGGTCAAAATTCCATTCATCGATGAAAAGCGATTGTTGGATGCTATGGCTACGAAGAATGATCTGCTGAGCGATGCTGAGAAGTTTAGGAATGAGTTTGGAGTTTCTTTGAAGTTCACTTACGATCCAGATGTCGACTTCACTTATCCATCTTCGTTGATGGGTATTTTCCCCGATATTGCTCACTGCCACTGCATTGAAAACATTTTCGATCTGCCAACTATCGAGGGCTTGGACTATTACCATGGTCTCATGGATGGAGCTAAACTTGGATCTGCAGCTCTAGCTGGATTCCCAAGTTTGAATTATCTCCCATATAATGCGACACTGGGTTTCCACGGCGTCAACGTTTTCCAGTCTGACAGCCGTAATGAAAGTATGGTTGTCACAATTGAGGACTGCGAAGTTCGAACAAATGTCAAGATAGCACAACAGAAACTTGGTAAAAGAGTATTCGTTGGCTATCCTTTCTTACAGGAAGGTAAAGTTGTAAAAGTCTCCGATGAACTGTTCGATTATTCGCCTTCCGAAGATGCCACTGGTCAACCAATTACTAGGGCACACGGACCTCGTGAAATCGATGACTTCCGCAAGAAAGCTGAAAGAATAGAAAGCACTTATAGCAAACGCCTTGGTGTTATCATTGGAACAGTGGAGTCACTCACTCATGTGGAGATGCTGAAAGGCCTCAAGAAGATGGATGATGGTGCAACCATCAAAGAATATGCTGTTATTCCTGGCCAGGATACAGACTATGCTTCGCAAGTCGTAGTGGATGAAGTTTTCAGCGAAGATCAGCGATTTTTAGAGAAAGCTGCTTTACCTGTAGAGGAAGAGTTCCCTATTGATGGCAGAATATTCTTCCTTGGTGACTTCAACTATGGCCGACCAGGACTGGTCGAAGGTCACACAGATCACAAACTCCAAATTTCTTTGTCAACAATCAAGGGCAAAGAAGTAGAATTTGGCAGGAACATTGTTCATACCGCCAAAAACACCACTCAATATACACCATCTTTTGCAGTTGCTAAGATGCTGGGATTGCATCCTTTAGTACTCAGCAAGATCACTTCATCCTTCCAAGTCTCTGCTGTGGGTCAACTTCGCGTCAATCTAGGATTGAATCTCAAATTTGAGGGTAAAAAACTCAAGGTTTTAGGTTACTCTCGACGAGCTGATAATGGCTGGGAGTTCAGCAACAAAGCTATAGAACTCATCAGCACTTATATGACCAAATTTCCTCACTTCTTTGCTGGCATTCAAAGAAAACCTCAAGGGAATGATTATGAGGAGTCTGACTTTCCTGGTGCCAGTGTTAAAGAGATCGTGGCATGGCTCAAAACCATCGAATCCAAGAATTTTGAAAAAGTGCCTTTGGATGCTGAGCAGCTTGACTCTGATACTGTAATGACCATTGAACAAGCGGCCCAACATGCTTTGACAACTGGTCCTCAACCTCAACGCACGACTCTTAAGGCTGTTCCACGCGGTGCGCTCTTGAAACCATCTGATGCTGAACAACGTTGCGGCAACCAGAGATTTGCTTTGGGTGATCGTATTGTCTATGTCGCAGATTCTGGTCGCGTTCCCATCGCCACACGTGGTACTGTTGTGGGTATCTCCCGTACTCCACGCACCACCCTCCTCGATGTTCTCTTCGACGTTACGTTCATGAGTGGCACAACTCTTGGAGAGCGGTGCTCCCCATTCCGCGGATCTACCGTACCAGTTGCCAGCGTACTCAATCTTACCAACAAGCAATTAATAGCAGGCTCTAGAGCCGCTGCTGAGAAGAGACCCGCTCCAACTAGCACGCCTTTGACAGTCAATGGTGGCTATGGCTATGGAAGAGGTCAACAATATAGAGAATCTGGACCACCTCCTCCACTTCGAGGTTCTTTTCGTGGTGCTGTTTCAGGGCCACGCGGAAACTTCGTACCTCGTGGCGGACGTGGTCGTGGTGGATTCGCCAATGGAAATACATACGGCAATGCCTCCGATAATGCTAGCCCGGCAGTTCATAGCAGCATGACTATTCGGGACACGACACCTGTGAATACGAGCGGTAACGCCAATGGCACGCGAGGTCGTGGAAACGCATTTGCTGGGGGTAGAGGTGGCAGTCCCGCAGCTGGCAACGTGGCATACAATAGCGTTCCCCCACCAACCGCATTGGATACCCGAGGCAGAGGTAGAGGCCGTGGTGGTAGAGGCCGTGGTGCTTCGAGAGGTAGAGGTGGTGATCCACAACCTCCTCAAGCTTAGATTTGCAACTTTCTGGTTCTCTATTTTTTCTTCATAGGTATTTCTTGAAAAGCATAGCGATATTGGAATGGCACAATATATCATGAGATGAAAGGATTTTACGAGTGATCATTTTTTTCGGTTGGTATATTACGAGGATAGAATAACGATTTCACGAGTGGGATTGTTATGACTGCTTGTACGATCATGTATGCATGGAACGGATATACTATATGGAAGAAAATAGTCCATGGGGTTCAGATGCGATGAGCGTGTGATAGCAATCATACCTGCCATGTTGGTAGAGATATGAGAATCGGTGGGATGGAGAGGAACGATATTTATTACGAGAGAAAACAATAGATGTACAGAGAAATTGATTCTTTGAAGTCTAACATTTATTTTCCCAAATAAAAGATGTGAAATTTATAATGAGTCTGAGATTATAGATCAGTGCTGAAATAGCTGATTAAGAGACAGGACTGGACTCGTAAATTAAGAAGAAATCTGGGGACTAGCAATAGGGACCCTATTGGTGCATTTGTCTAATATAGAGTGTATTCAGGTAAGACAAGATGATATCCTCAGAACATGGGATCATCATGGGTATTTCATACTATTAGTCTATTACTATAGACTATGGAACCAAGGACAGGACTTTCCTTCGCATCCTAGCATCCTATGTGTAAATAACACAATATTCTTTCGTCCTCGTCCTAATCCTAATCCTAACGCCCAATACAAATATTCATGCCGACATCGTTCATCAAACATCAACCATCACATCAAACATGACATCACATGACCCTCGTCACTCTAAGCACTCTAAGCACCGCTCCTATAAACCTGACTACCCTGCCCCCTAATAGCAATCGTATCTCTCCTCTGCAACACCACCAGCGCCCTCTCCAAACTCATTTCGCTAAAGCCCCTCCCCTCACACATTTCCCTCTTCAGCGTTGCCAAACTCGTGCTCCAACCCACTGGCAATCTTTTCTTCAGTTCTTCCTCTAGTCTCGCGACTTCGTCTTGTAGTTCTCGACTTCCTTGTTGGGCGACACCCTGTTGAACGGCATCCATGGTGGATGCTAGGAATAATCGGATTGCTTCGTCGACGTGTTGATCTTGGGCGATGGGGGATAGGGAGATTTTAGCTAGGGATTCGGTTATGCGGATGATGGCTTCGAGTTGACGGACGGTGATGGGGATGGAGGAGCGTTCGTTGGTTGTCATTTCGTTGGCGTGAACTTGTTTTCGGATGGAAACGAAGTGAGAAGAAAGCTTTTCGGCAGCTTCTGGAGAGAGGCGGGGTGCGCAACGACTGGAGCTTGTCAATTTTATACTTTCTTGTCATGGAGGAGACGGAATAAATGTAATACATACGATTTACAATAGCTGACGTATCTCTTCATCTTTTCAACAGGAATCTCCGATTCGGCTTGTTCTTCCCTTCCTCTACCACCCATGTGCACATTCATAACATGTCTCGCCATCTTCTCATCTTTGCCTCTCTCATGCTCATCCTTCACTATAAAAATCATATCGAAACGCGACAGAATGGTGGTTTGGAAATCAATATTCTCGCCTGGCGATTTAAGATCATCATAACGTCCGAAGATAGGATTAGCTGCAGCAAGGACAGAAGTTCTTGCATTGAGAATTGTTGTGATACCAGCTTTAGCTATCGAGATAGTTTGTTGTTCCATAGCTTCGTGGATGGCCACTCTATCCTCGTCACGCATTTTATCGAATTCGTCGATGCATACTACACCTCCGTCCGCAAGAACCATAGCTCCACCTTCGAGGTAGAATTCTCGGGTTGTGTGATCACGTTGAACGGAGGCGGTTAAACCAGCGGCTGAAGATCCTTTTCCAGACGTATAAATAGCAATGGGAGCGACTTTTTCGACGAATTTTAGAAGTTGAGATTTGGCAGTTCCAGGATCACCGAGGAGAAGGACATTAATATCACCACGAAGTTTCATACCATCAGGAAGGATCTTTTTGGATCCACCGAGCAGGAGACATGCTATCGCTTTTTTAATATCGTTATTGCCATAAATAGATGGAGCGATGCAGGAAGCGAAAACACTGTAGAGGTCAGGTCTGCGTGACATTTCGAGGAATTCCTGTTCTTCCTCTTCAGAGAATACTGCGTTGCCCTTTGCGGTGTGATCGACATCGCTATGGATGCCAACTGCTCTCAGATAAGGAGTTCGAATGGCAACGGCCGAGGTTGTCGAGGAGCCTTTTGTGTTTTTGTTTTGATAAATAGAAAAGATACCGGTGATCATACATCTTGTACCGGGTACCACCCGATTCGTCAAATATCTATCGGTTGAAATGAGAACGTGACGTGGCAGTTCTCCCACCGGGACTTGATCTGGAGCTTCTTGAAGCTTAATAATTTGTTGATCGACGAATTGTGAAGCTTCATGAACAACCACATACGGATCCATGGGACAAGGTTGATCTCCAGGCATCTTTTGTCTATCGCATATTCTGGGTAGTGAAACACCAGAAAATCCACCAGATACTGGCAACACTTTTGTAGAGCGACAATTTCGACATTGTATATTTAGTGCTGTTGCTTTTGAGGATAGAACTGAGGCTCCAATGACGATACCAGGTACTCGCACAAGTCGGGATATGGCAAGGGCGTCTAGATCTCGAATGGAAATCTCCGAGGCCGTGGAGTGAAGGAGGAGTTGATGTTCGGGAAGGACAATATCTCTGTCCGAAGGATATACGATTCGGTGAGTACATTTTTTTAATGCACTTTCGAACTGAGCATGCGTCAGAGATAGTTTGCGGGCGATACCTAGGGATCTTAGGGGCTTGTTACCAATGGTATAATCTCTGCAGGTTCTGTCGCAAGTCGGTGTGCAAGTTCTTCATTGAAAGATATCAAGTGCCCAACATCAACGTCACAAAAGTATTGTTTTAACAGAACGTTTTCGCGGATCTGATCTCTATATCGACTCCATTAGCATGATATCGCACACGGTGGAATGCTTCCTACCTGTAGATGAAGGCATTATCAATGCGAAATTGAAGAATAAATTGTTCTAATTGTGCTTGTACTTGACCCCGAGTATCTTCATTGTCGCCATACTCAGGTGGTAAAACACTCAGAGAAAATACAGATTGACGATCCATCTTATTGTTTGTGTCTTTTTGTGTTGTTAAATACGAACTGCGGGGATATTGGTAGTGTTGATATCCTGCTGTTGTCCTGCTGTTGCTAAGTGGGAGAACCTGAGGTTTTTGATAAGACGCGTTTTCTCCTTTTTTGAACGCGACAAACTCGTGTAAAGTGTTTGCATGGAATTGCCGCAGGAACCAATATGATAATTATCTTTCAATTAAAAGATATCAAATCAATTTCATTATATATAAATTTGATTTAACCAAATGAGCTTATGAAGAGCCTTGAGTATTATTTTGAATACTTATTAAAACTTATTATAATCTTTGGAAAAGAATTAAAAATTAAACAAACAAATGATATACTGAGAATATACCCACGGTTACAATTTGATATACAAACCTTGGCAAGCCTCAGCCTCGTACTCCAATCAATAGAACAATCTACTAACCAATCAACCAATCAACCAAATACAGATTAAACAATGTGAATAACTCGAGTACAAATTTGTTCCAACCATGCAACCTTGGTAAGCCTCAGCCTCGCACTTCAAACAACCAATCAAATACCAACAATGAAAATGATTGGATATGTTGATCGAAAGGCTGAAAGAACGGAAGGCTGGAAACCTCATAGATATCGTGGCCTTTCATCTTGACCATTGTATTAAAAATCATCATTATTTCACTCCAATTATCATTTTTCTTTCTTTTAACCGAGTATTAGAGCTACTATAAATCTCTAGATAAGTTTATGGGTGTTACTTTCGATTATAACAATTGTGGTGTTGGGGACTTCCGCCGCCTGTATTGCGAATCATGGATAATTCCCCGGCATCGCGATTTTCTGTAGAGAGCTTTTCTCCTTCCTCTCCTGGGGTTCAGAACGAATATCCATTCCCAAGGTTTGTTGCGTGATTCGAGATCAGTAAATATTACAATGCTAATAGTATCTAACAGACCGGGCTCCTCCGGTGGCAGACTTTATCCACGGCGCGAGTCAACAGCTAGCTCGATACACTCGATAGGGGGAACATTGGATACAGTCTCACAATGGCATCGATTGAATGAATCCGGGCAGAACGGTATGTTTTGGAAATGGTTGGAGAAGTCAGGGAAGGAACTGACATATACTAGCTATATCTACTTTACTCCAACCACCAATCGTTCGAACTGGTCTCATTCCCCACACCTCCGCCCCCGCATCCAGTGCACATAAACCTCCGACCGCTCGAGATATACCCCCGGTAACACTTACAAATATACCGCATGTCGATCCGTCGGAATTCAAATCGTATTTGGCCCAAGTAGGAGCAACCTATGATGCATTACAAAGAGCAAAAGAGAATGAGGAAGAGGGGGGGACGCAACTGTTACGCAAAGGCAATAAGGCGGACGACTTCGCAGATATCCTAGACTTCGACGCACGGACACCTAAACCTTCTAGACGGGCATCTTTGGCTTCTCTTGTATCGTTGGAGAGTCCCTCGGTATCGGCCCGGAAAAAGTCTAGTAGTGGGAGAAGAGCTCTACATGCGCCGACTCCCATAACTACAGTCCCCAATGTGTACTTCGATGAGGATTTCCACCTGGAAAACCCAAGAACCTTCGATGTTGTCAGCGAACGCTCAGAGGTCATCCGGCCAACGTCTGGCTCTCCTGACGAACGTCGGACAAGTAATGGCTCCGCAGTTAACCCCAGAAAAGCTCTAGCTACGAATGCCATTCTTCAGGAGAAATTATCGTGGTACATGGACACTATCGAGGTGCATCTAATATCCTCAATATCTACGGCCTCGACTTCTTTTTTCGCAGCATTAGGCTCTTTGAGAGAACTTCATTTCGAAGCAGCAGTTTCCGTAGAGAGGATCAAAACCTTGAGAAAGGAATTAGAAGATTTAGATGAAGAAATGGCCGTCGGTGGATTGAAAATTGTAAATCTGCAAAGAAGGAGAGAGAATTTGAAGCAATTGAATGATGCAGTTCAGCAACTGAAACAAATAGTAAATGCTGTTGCGAGCTGTGAATCAATGGTGGAGAATGGTGATGTGGAACAAGCACTGGATGCCATCGATGCATTGGAAAAACTTATCGCAGGCGAGGAGATGCTGAGCAAACCGGGCCAGCGAAAGTTACAACTCCAAGACCTGAGAGGTGCCACAGCTTTGCAAGGAGTAACGAATGATTTAAATACGTTACGCTTCCGGATTGGCAAAAGTTTCGAGGCCAAATTTCTCCAAGCCCTTCTTGGCGATCTCAGACGACATGTTGAAACGGTATCTACCGAAGATACGCTGCAACGTTGGAGCAATGCATCTTCGAGATCAAGGGGCACTCACAGTCGCGAAACATCTTCACAGCCGCCCACATATCTGACGGTTCCTGACGAATTTCGTACAGAATTATTATCGAACCTGAGCGGTTTGTATAGGGCAAAATATACTTCGGCTGCAACATCTGCATTTAGAGATGCCGTGTTGCGAGAGGTGCGGAATATTATCCGACGGTTTCTCCCTAGTTCTAATGATGACGATGCCGATTCTATGATGTCGGCGTCTACGGTTGGCGCTGCTAAGCAAAAGAACCAACAAGAAAAATCAATAATATTAGCTCGCAATTTACGTTCATTGGATCCAGATGATGCTGAAGAACTCCTTAAGAAAACCTATGTTCAAGTTGGCGAGACTCTGAGAAGGCTAGGGACTCAAGTCAAGGTATTGCTAGACGTCACTAGTACTCTTGGAGATCCGGACACTCTTGGGGGTGTAAAGTCCCCACCACGAAGTCCTGTTATAGGATCACTCAATGCTAGAATGAGCCCCAGTTTAAGGGGTAGTTCTGGCAGGGAGTTGCAAGAAGAAATGCACCAGACGCTGGATATGTCTAGTCTCCTGGGACAAGCTGTGGACATTGCTCAAGATAAAATAGTGAAAGTGCTGCGGGTGAGGACAGACCAAAGCACCCATCTCTCGGTCGAAAGATTTCTACGATATTTCACGCTAAATCTGCTTTTCGCAAACGAATGCGAAGCTGTATCGGGTAGAAGTGGTACAGCCTTAAAAAATGTAGTCAATGGTCACATCAAAGATTACGTCCAGCAATTGGGTGAATCAGAGCGGCAAAGTCTGGCTACAGGAATGGAAGCAGATCCTTGGAATGCCAAAGATTTCACCGATGACGATGAAAAACTCTTGTCTAGAATACTCTCCGCAAGCACACAAGATGTCGAAGCCTGGAGCTCCGGCAGCAAAGTGTGGCAGTCTTGTACTGATTCGCCTCTCGGAACCCAATCTTACCTCACACCCCCAACAAATGGTACGCAAAAGAATGGAACCTCAACACCAAACTCTACCTCTACACCTACACCTAGTAAAAGCCAAACTCGTTCTGCAGTCGTTGATGACCAATCATACATCCTCCCCATATCTGCAATTCTTTGTCTCCATGGTCTCGCCTCCCTTCTTCACCTTAATACTGGCATTCCATCCATGACCTCCGAGATCGCTACGTCGATTCTCTCCTACCTCACACTCTTCAATTCCCGCGTGCAACAACTAATCCTCGGAGCCGGAGCTACCACTACCGCAGGTCTAAAAAAACATAACTACCAAACATCTCGCCCTCGCCGCCCAGGCCACCTCCTTTATATCTGTTCTCATTCCATACATCCGCGAATACGTGCGTCGTCATGCTGGCACCGGCTCCTCTGTCTCCATTCTTATGGGTGAATTTGACAAGATCCGCCGCGCATATCTCGAACATCAGCAATTGATCTACGATAAATTCCTCAATATTATGTCCGGAAGAGCAACTGCTCATATCAAAAGCATGAAGGCGATTAATTGGGAAGATGGAAGTAGAGCTGGCTCTATCAATGCGTATATGGAAACGATGACGAAAGAGACGCTCACATTGCATAAAGTTCTGAACAAGCATCTCCCAGATATGACCGTGAAAATGATTATGGAGCTGGTATTCAAAAGCTTTCGGGAGCAATTGGGGAAGGCGTTCGGGGATGTGGTTCTGGGGAGCGAGGATTCTAAGGGCCGGTATGTTGACTTATTTTCTTGCTACTTTTATCTCCAATAATACTCAAGCGACTAATGAGAAAACAGAATGCTTCGCGATGCAGAATACTTCAAGATTCGTATAGGTAGTCTTGATGGCGCAAATGATGCAGGTGATTATATCATCAAAGTCGTACAGGATAAGAATGTTCCGAGGAATTCCACTTCACCCCCGATCACACCCCCTCCTGATATTACCCCCGTCGAAGGAAATTAGCCGGCGTTGGAATCGTGGTTGACAACAATGGAAACGGAAATGAAAATAACGGAATTGGGAACAGCTAAAAGCCGGAAGACGCATTCTTCTTGGGAGGGATGAGAGATTTCTCCATAGATACCTACCTTGTAATCCTGATTGAATTACAAGAAGCAGTGGAAGCAGTGGAAGAAAGCGAATAGGAGAGAGTGAGAGTGTGAGAGAGGAGGTTAACAAGATAGTTAGTTGTTAGTTGTACATAGATAATATAGTCATCGTTGATACAATACAAGGTGATTACCAATCAGGACATGATGTGCTGTATACTATTGATTATATTATTGCTTGTTGCTTGTCGTTTATTGAAGGTTGTTCAACCGCTTGCTTGCTTGCTTGCCTACTTGCCTACTTGCTTGCCTGTTTTACTACAAGATAAATTAAACTTGAGATGAACTTGAGGTGAACGAACGGTGAACGAACGGTGCCTTGTAATTTCTGTCTACTTGGCTATTGGCTACTTGGCTACTTAGCTACTTGGTAAGATTACAATGCTAACCTCCTCATCTTCATCTTCATCCTTAGTCTATGTAACATTTTCTCCCTTCTTATAAAATATGTATGCTCGCTTATTTATATACTTTTCTCTCCTTTCCTTTCTATTCATTTCATTTCCTGTCCTTTATATACTTTGCTTTCTTCTCTCCTCTGTCTACTTTTATCTCTTTTCCTTTCCTTTCCTTTTCTCCCCTTTCAATAGAATCAATCATTAATACCTTTGATTTGTCTAATTCATATATTTACCTAATCTTCTCCTCTCTTCTCTCCTCTCCTCTCCTCTTCTCCTCTTCTCTTCAGTTATTTATGTTGAGATTATATTACTCAAGTATACTCAAGTATAATCACTTTTATACCGTATCAACTACCTTTCCCTTCCCCCTTCCCCCTTCCCTTTCCACATATTCTTCCCCTTCCCCTTTCCCTCTCACAATCCCTCTCATCATCCCCATCCCCATCCCCATCCCCATCGCCTACCTTACCTCACAATACCTCACCTAACATAACCTAACCTGCTACCAAACAACCCCCCCTCACCCCCCAATCTATCTATATTCCATGCTACAGACAAGATCAATACGATATAATACACTATAACAGATCAGATTCATGATCAGAGTGTTTCTCCAGTCCAGGTTCATTGTAGAAACTCACGAAATCCACAATCACAATCACAACCATACCACATCACATCACATCACATCACATCACAACACAACTCACACGAAACCACACAACAAACACAACACATCACATACAAAAAGTACCGCATGTGATATATCATTCATTGCATTGCAATCATTCATTCGCTCCTATAGCAACGCACAATTTCCATATCCATATCAACATCCACATCCACATCACCCTTTTTGCAAACGACCAATAAAAAACGGAAAGGGCAATTTCACTTTCCCAGCGCCTTACGCACCATCGTAAGGAGACATGTGATATGCACTTCAAGTATCCCACCCGTTCCTCGTCACCAGAACGCCCGCTCCCGCACCCGCTGCTCCTCCTCCACTAAGCTATCTCGTTTCTCGTCTTGAGAAACCTTCCCATCATGAAGAATCATTCGCGTCCCATTACCTACCTACTTTGGTTATGAATATCAATCAATAACCTTACAAAAGCTTTGTCCGACCGCATGCCAATAGCGCTCCATCCCAAATGTACAATCCTGCAAGCTTTTCGTAAACTTTCCCATGCCAACCATGGGAGTGGTTCATGAGAACCATTCTATTCATTTAAAACGGCGACCTCCTGAGTTTGGATTATGGATGACGAAGGTGGTATGCTTGGAGGTCCCATCATTACTCGTTTTGGGTCTCTGTCGGAACTCGCTTCACCTTCTGCACTTCTCTTCTTCTCCTTTTCCTTCTGCGCCGCTCTTCGCGCCTCTTTATCCTTACGCTCGTTTTCTTTGCGTAACGCCTTGGATTCAAATTCATGCCAATCACCCTTGAGTTCTTTAAGTCTATTTTGAGGTATTAGCTAATTATCACTTGGTGAAAAGGTTGGGAAACATGGAAATAACATACTCAATAGCCTGTCTCGGAATTGGCTCTTCCGTTGTGAAATACGGATGCTCAAGAACATCAGAGGCAGAAGGTCTCTTGGTAGGATCATATTGAAACATGGCATCCAGGAGCTCAAATGCAGCCGGCGTAACTCGATCTTTGTATTTTTCTGCAAAGACGTTGGATCGTTTGGCAGAAGGTCGGAGTAGTTCAAACCATGCCATATCTACTAAGGCCGGCCAATCATTTCGATTCGGAGTTCCAAGTACAGCGTAAATTTTCTCGAGTTGACTGATTTCGCCACCGTCCCCGGGGAATATTGCGTGTCGAGTGAAGATTTCAACCAAAACACAGGCTGCGCTCCATATGTCGACTGCAGGGCCATATTGTGTCTCGCCGAGGAGAAGTTCCGGTGAACGGTACCAGATAGTGATAACACGATTGGTATAGTCTAGCTGCCTTCGCTTTGCGTAGAATCGAGCTAATCCAAAATCTGCTAATTTCAGTTGCCCTTCATCACTCACGAGGATATTCGCTGCTTTGATATCCCGATGTAGAACACCTCGGCGATGAAGGTAATCAAGGCCCTCAAAAAGCTGCTTAGCAAGATGCTTTTTGTGAGCTGCGTCCAACTTGAAGGATGGGTGGTTGAGCAATCCTGTCAGGTCATGGGACAGATATTCAAAAACCATAAAGCAATCGTTCTTTTCCACCATTACCTCCTGTAGATTAACGATATTTGCGTGCTTCAAGGATTGAAGCAGTTTAATTTCTCGTACCGCAGTCACGGGAAATCCATCGCGCTCTCCTTCCATGCGTATCTTCTTCAAAGCAACCAACTTCTTTGTGTAAACGTGAATGGCCTTGAACACTTTACCGTAAGTCCCAGACCCCACCACAGATTCATTACCAGGTTTCCGATAGTATACAGAATCTGATGCTTTGTATTCGGGGAGTAGTTGTGGCTTTGGCTTCATACGTTGCAAAGTCTTCTTGACCTTACGCGTGATAGGTGGCGGTGGTTCGCGGAATGTGTGTTGTGATCTTGCAGATGCTGGTTCTGTGGGAATGTTTCGTGTTGCTGCAGGACCACGAGGGCTATCTTGCATATCTCGCTTGATTGGCGCAGCGTTCAGCTTTTGGGAAATTTCTGGTTTTGGAGTAGTAGCCGCTTTCGCCGGACCTTTAAAGGCAAAGCTGAATTTCGAGGAATTCTGTTGGCTTTGAGGTCCTGTTGGCGGTGGTCGACTAGGAGGGGGCATCTGTTCCTCATCATTCTTCTTGCTAGTATCCTCAGCTTGGAGGTCTTTTGAGGGTCTAAACAAGTCTTCGCTTTCCTCTACCTGGTTTTGTAGTGGCATTGCACTAGTATCAAGTGGGTTCTGCGAGGGGAACTGCTGCTGCGGAGACATATGCTGAGGTGTGACGTTGCCGGAGTTGGTGAACTGGCCACGACTGGCGCCAGAGGGACCAGAGGGAGGATTCCATTGAGGATTGAACTGATTACCACGACCACCTCGGGGATTGAAATTGTTACCTCGAAAATTTCGTTGATTTCCTCGGAGATTATTATTCATTGGCCCTGTGGGAGGTGCTTGGTAGGAAGGAGACTGTGTTTGGTTGCCATACATTTGACTTTGCGGGCCGGTAGGAGTAGCATATCCCGGCTGTTGCTGGTAGTTCGGTTGGAACTGCCTGCATATTGGTTAGTACATCAAAAATGTCAATAAAACGAAGGGATAACTTACGAAGTAGGCGAAAATTGTTGTTGCTGTGAGCCATTCCAATTTCCACGCCCAGAAGAATATGGTGATTGTGCCTGAGGTGAACCATGATACGAGTTTGGGGTCATTTGATGCTGTGGAGATTGTGAAAATTGTCGTAAATCAGCTTGAGGCCCTTGAGGAACTTGGTTAAATTGTGGTTTTAAAGGAAATGCAGCCTGCATCTGCTGGTTTGGATTGTACCCTTGCTGGCTACCAAAGAATCCTCTGTTGGCCATCTTATCCGACTTTACCTGAATACTATTCGCTCCTGAAGCTGCCGAAGTAGGTCGACCTCGGGATTTATTATTCGGACGATATTCGTCTCGTGGAGGAGGTCGTCCCTTGTCTCGCTTTGGAGAACGTCTCCTATTTCCCTTCGGTCCTTTCGGCGCACGAGGCGATTGATGACGACCACGATTTGATGGTTCGTATCTGTCTGCCTCTGGGGATCGACGGCTCGAGTATGGGGAAATATCTCGATTCTTCTCCTTGTCCTCAACGGACTCTGGTGCTGGTGCTGGTCTTGCTCTGTCCTTTTGTTCTTGCTCGACAATTCTTTGAGGAGATTTATTGCGATTCGTCGGGGGATCGTCGTAGTCCAGGGAGGATGGAGGAGGTCTCTCAAATTTATCGCGGTTTTGGCCAGGAGATCGTCCACGCTTATCGGTTTTTCCAAAATCTCTGCGGTTTCTAGGATTTCCTTCCTCGCGTTGATTATTTCTATTTTGTTCTGATTGTCGATGTCGATGTTGTGATGCAGACCGGTTTCGTCGCTTCCTATCTCGCCGGGATGACCCTTTACTAGCTCCGTTGTGCCGTGCTGGACTGCGAGAATTTCTTCGAACCTTCTTTTGCTGATTGCGACTCGGCGATGGGCTACGACTCTTTCTTCGTTTGATCGCTGGAGGAGAATGAGCTGTGTTTCCTCTTACGGTATCTGAGCCTCGCGTCTCCGACAGTAGTTCCCTGCCTTGATTGCGCTTCAATACCTCTTCTTGTGAACCCTTTCCTGGCCGAGGAGATAATTGTCTTCTGCGATCCGGGCTACGATCTCGTCTTTCAATTTCTTGTGATGGCCTTGACCTATCAGTACTGCGATCTCGTATGTTGATTGTCCTGTCGGCGTCCGGGCGACGTGACGTGGGAGACCTTGATCTTCTCGACCGTCGTTCAATAACTCCTCGGTCTACTCTACCTCTATCTCTGCGATCTTCACCGGGGCTCCAGCTGTCTTTCATCTCGAGCGCGATCGCATCTCGAGCAATAAGGTGTTCTTTTGGTTGTGGAGTTGGAGACATAATTGAGCAATGTCGATGATTTTGCTAAAGTGGCGCGCTTCTTTAGGCTTAGCGAGAATTGAGTCGATGGATTGGCATGAACCATACAATGCGACACAAAAGACCAGACCAAGAGAAAAATGTAAAGAAAGAAATTTGAAGAAAAGAAGTATATTGTAAGGGTCTTGTAGACTTGAGGAGTAGAAGATGAAGATAAAATTGTAAAAATTTGGGAGGGATTTTGGTGTTACATTACCTATATTTTTGATTGTATGACTTGCCTTGTTCTATTTGTTATTGTTGTGGTGTTGAATGCTGAATTGAGTCGAGTTCCAATAAAAGAAGTGTAGGTAGGTAGTAAGTAGAGTTAGTGAGTGATGTACCGATATACCATAACCATAATGTGATGTTCAAAACAGCCACCATGGTAGAAGGGAAACCGCATTCGTTATCCCATAAAAGGTGAGAAGTAGGTAGGTATTGAAAGAATCATCCCATACCACATCGAGTGAGCAAATTACCGAGATTCGTGTGTCCCTTCCTTCCAACTTCCATGCATCGGTATCCAGACCGCGTTTACAAATTTCGATGTCACGCAAAGTGTGCAAAATGATCTATCTACGATGCGTTTAAACGCAAATATAACAAGCAAAAAGTAAAGGAAGTTATCGTCGATATGGCCATGCCAATATGGAGTCTGCCTCTATACGAGGGACAAGGGAATTTAACCCACAAATACTCTCCGGTCACGTATGCAAAGAACGTCCCCAGTGTAGTTGGGAGCGAACTCCCTTGCAGCCCCTCTGCCAAAGATAAATAACCCAGTGTTCGAATTGTAGACGATAACCCGGGAACTCCGCCGTTAAATGATTGCGAGATCCTTGGGTTATTTCGTGGGTTCGTCTTGGTGCTGGTTGTGAATGATGACAACATCGTTGAAAGGTGACTGAATCCTCAAGCACCTTTAGAGGAGCATGAATGTCGTCGTTGGGGTAGCAGTCAAGGTTAAAGCTTTGTGATAGACTCAGCACATGGGTAAGGATAAGGAGTGCTTCAGATCGCCCAGAAACAGTCGCCATGTCAAAAGTCTGATGGTGTGTAGATCAGTTCTTGTTTGGAATCAGGTGAGTCCGAACAGCATAGAATCTTTGAAAACCTAATCATCATCCAGTGAGGCATCTAACGGTAAGATGTATGTACTATCTTCAGCCTTGTTAAAGTAACGACCACTATTGACATCTTGCGAATATCAAGGGTGCTGGAGCCGAAGTTGGCGTGTTGTGAGGATTCGTTCAAGCATGTCAAAGACTCATTAGGTATGGCATATTCACAAATCATCCTTTTGGTTTGTCCATGCCGATAGATATCAGCCACTTCCATCAATCCACAGTTTCAACCATTAGTGAGGGATGAAGGACAACCTTCGGCCTTGCAGGCCAACCACAAAAAAACAGTACTTGAAGCCATTGTATAGGGAAGTATCGTCGTTATTTGAAAGATGTATCGACATACACAGAGGCATATACGTAGTTGATTGTAGATATTGTCTGCCACGGTATTCAGGATCACATACCACCATAGATATTGTTGTCGATTTCGCAATAGTGCATGAGCCGCAACTAAATATTGCCAATACGTTCGCGACCGATGAACTTAGGATGTGAGCAGTCATCAAGAACCATAATATATATCGAAGAAGTGTTTGGGGAAACCATCGTCTCGGATTGTGCCTATCGCAATGTCGAAACGGTGGCATGTGCGATTGTTGAGAAGAGGTGAAAGCTGTGAGAGGAAGACTGCATCGTTAGTATCATAACCCTAATTGTTTTTTGTTCCTCCTCATCGTCTTCTTTTCGTGGTATATTGTTGCGGATAATAGTATTTAAAGTCAACTTGTATGTAGGTAGTGTTTTTTAAAAGATAAGTAATGATTATATGTTGGATGATGGAAGTTTATTATTCGTTTACGAGCAAGAGCAAGACAAGAGCAAGGCTTCCCAGGCTCTTAACGTTGTATTCTTGATTACATAATAGTGCCAGTGCTCTATTATTCGAGCTCATGCTGACGTAACCGGCGAAGTCATGTTTCTGTTCAACATCAACGTCCATCTGGTTAATTATCTATATATATGTCGTTGATCCTCCGTCTTGTCCCATGGGTCGAATATCGAAGCAATGTAACATTCCTAATGCGACAATTCGAGATTCAAGATGGCCAAATTTGTGCTTCCTTTCCCTATTCTCTAAGACAATTTAGTACCACGTTCGTAGATCTGGCTGGATTTTGAGGTAAACCACTCAAGTGAGCGACAGCCTACAAGTGGGCTATGCCAACTCAAACCTCATCTTCGTACAACTATCACGGCCAAATGAATGGCTGGACACATAGTACAGGCGGCTATGCATCAACTACATGTTGTGGTTATTGGAGTGTTACACCAAGCCTGATCTATTAACTTACCATTTAAGGTCCCAATTTCAACTAACTTTATCGAATCATGAAGAATGCCATAAGCTTTTAAGAGTTATCAATTCCTCTCATCCTGCTCTATTCATTATTGCCTCACCTCGAGAGTCATTCCTTCACTTATGGAGGCACTTGCTGGAGTGTCGAGCGTGATCTCGGTTCTCAGCCCTACTATTCAACTTGCGGACGGTATCAAGAAAGCTTGTGAGCTATGGGAATCGATTCAAGAAGTCCCTCATGAGGTTCAAATGATATGCAAAGATTAACATGCTATATCAAACGTTCTTAACGAGATCCAACTAGAGGAAAGCCAGTACATACATCACTCAAACTCAGTAGTCGAGGCTCTTGGACTTTGCTTTGAGGTTCTTAAATCTCTCGATCGCCTAAGCCAAAAGATCATACCCCTAAAGACAGACGCCACCCGAATGAAAAGAAAGTGGCAAGCTTTGAAGGCAGTCATAAAGATGGAAAGGGTACAAGAGTTACAGTCGAAATTAGACCGTGCAAAGACAACCCTGATTCTGGCTCGGCAGAGTTCCTCTCAGTTAGTACTTCCCCGATTACAGCTTTGATGATCTCTGATACTTCTAAACGCCTAGCCGTACAGACTTTTAAGTATCAACAGCAGCTCATAAATCTTGTGGGTGATATAAAGCTTAAATTGCAGGAACAGACCTCGACAACTATTGAAACTAAATACAGAGATCCAGCGGATATGAATGGCCACCTCTAAGCGCTAAAAAGAGAAGCCCGAACTCTTGCGTGCAGCATTACAAATCCCGTCTTGAGACTCGGCTTTGAAAAAGCTATGGACTTGGCATTTTCTGAATTGTCGAATCCCTCTAAGACTAACAGAAATATTCATCCGCGGAGAAAGACTGTTCTTCTGGGCACTTCATATCACAGCTGCTATACAATAAGCACGCCCTTTGGAACAGTTCGTTTCCACACGATCACCATGTTCTTTGCAGATGACACCAACACAATGCGGACCACAATCACCATGCACCCTTCCAGATTTCTGCAACTATGCGGCGTCAGGTTTGGGCTCAGATTCGCTCTTTCAAAGGCCCCTGGAAACATCGAACACGCATTGCAAGCATATAGAGCCGTCCCAGATAATGCGATAATCTTCAAGCTATGCTGGGAGGGTCGTATCGATGCCATTAACCTCCTGTTCGAACAGGGGCTTGCTTCGCCTTTGGATACTGATTCTTATGGACAAACACCTTTGATGGTACGTCCCCCATTACACCTCAGTGTTCGATCATGTCAAATGAACTCCCGCTTTGAAGACTCTATGTAAATCAATTGAATTACGTTGGGGTTAAAATTTGAATGTTTCAAGGTTCTGCCTCAAATGCACATGTTTGTTTTCAATGACGAAGACTTCTAATTGGGGGTTTCCAGATAGCAGCGGTTGCCGGAGAACTTGAAACTTGTAAGTTTCTCATGGAACAGGGAGCTGATGTAGAAGTACGAAACGGGCGCGGAGAGTAAGTTAAGCCCTTGTCGCGTGACATATTGTGCAGTTGGCGAATCCCTTCTAACAAGACCGAGCAGGAATCTTGTAATGTATGCCATTGATGCTGCGGCAATGCCGGGCCATTGGCTAGGGCCTGGGCCTGGGCGAGGGTGGGGCCCGAGGTCGGAGTATGACATCGATGTTTCTGATGCCGAGAAATCTGCCCGAGTCCCTTGCGAAAGTCGATTTGAGATGCTAAAGCTGTTTGTTGAGCAATTCGAGGTCGGCGAGGCATGGATTGTTGTGCGAGGTTATCTCTTCGTAGAATAACTCAAAATGCATGTCCCGCAGACAGTTGTCGCCATGAGCCTAATCGCCTCGCACTTTTTTGTTGGGCCTTCACATTAGTTCGAGAAGAGCTCCATTCCAATGGAGGCATTGATTCGATATGGTTGAAAGATGCAATATACCATGAGGATATAGACACCGTTGACTACATTCTCAAGTCAGGCGGTCATGGGGTAATGGATATTGCGACCAAACACACTATATTGTTCACTGTTTCCTCCAGGATGAAAATATCCGATCAAACACATCTCATTCATTGCGCGATGAGCCATGGCTTCAATCTTCATCAACCTTTAATGTTCTTTGTCAACCCTGACTACGGATTCCCCACCACAATGGCGATGCAGGCCTTGCGATCATCGGCTGCATTCTCCAGGTTTAGAACCACACTGCAACTTTTAGGTATAAATAAAACTACCTTTGTTCACAATGAGATACAACAGAGCCCCGCTGTCGCCGATGGTTGGACTATTGACAGCCTTCAAATTGTCTTTGATTTGGTTTATATACCTATCAAGTATCCACCCAATTTCTTGTGTTGGGAAGAAGAATGCATGCACGACACCGAATACATGTACGACACCGCACACGAGGCTGAAGAGGTGTCTTGGAATTTTATGCTGGACAAATTGAAGGAATTGAACATCGGGGATGCACTTGCAAGCAATGTGGATGCAATACTCCGGGAGCGAGAGGTGGATATCATTAAGTTTAGGGATGTCGATGGGCGTGTCTGTTCAAACTGTGGTGAAGTCGGTAGATATTATGCTACTGGTGATGAATACGATGAAGCATATTCGGATTGGATCGGGCATTGGTACCGATTGAAAAAGGAGGCAGAGACAAAGGAGGCAGAAAAGGCAGAGGTGGAGGATTCAATGTTTCTCTTGTCTCTTTGACAATGCAACATTTGTGATGGAAGAGTCATTGATCAATACAAGGAATCTTCGGTCAAGCGCCAAAATTTCAAACATAGGCTTGAAAATTTCAGCAACCAGAGTCTTGAAATTGCACAGCGGAACTCGAACTTTCATATTTTCCATGTTCAGTTTACATGTTATCTCATTCGACATATAACGATATCAAACCTTTCGTTTTTCATCTTTTAAACTCCACAATCTCAATTTAGCATATCATCACTTTCGTTATCATATACTTCGAATCACTTCAATAGTCCTCCTGCATCTTCGAATATTTTTGGTTGATGTGATGTTATGTGCTTTAAATGATATAATCTCTCTGAAGTTGATATTATATCTAGACTCACCTATAGTATTACCACACTATTCCCTCCTCTAGAGTCTATGTTCTCAATGCCCCTACCCCCCCCCCCCCCCCCCCTTTATCTTCTCGCTTCATTTCCCAACTATTATGATCTCGATATACATCTCCGCTCCTTCCCATTCATAAACCAATTTCTTTTTCAAAGATATGATATTGTTTATATAAAGATTTGAAAATTTGGAAATTTAAAAAATGGAAATCCTTTCTATCCCTATCTCTCCATGTCTATATCTATGACGGCTTTCAAAGGTTCTATCAGATCATAATATATAAGCATACATTTCATAATCTCATAATTTCATATATATTCTTATTATCTAGTTGTTATAATAAATGGTTTTTGGGATCAAGAATTTATCCATTTTCTATCTACCTATACTCGTATACCTATTCACCCTGTAGCCCGCACTCCGTACTCGGCACACAGATACTACACGACTTTTCATTCCATCCCCAATACATCACAGTACCATACAATACAATTTCCCCATCCCATCCACCCTATATATCCTACTATTGTACCACACCGCTCCCTGCCCAACTTCGAGATCTTCCCGACGATCCCAGTCCCAATCCAAATTATAACTTCTAACTTCTCACTTCTCACTGCTCCTCTCTTCTCACCACATCACCTTACCTTACCTTACCAATAGTAAGTCCAAGTCCAAATCCAAGTCTATTTCATCGCTGCACAATCTCAACAACAATCCCAATACTAATCTCAATCTCAATGCAATACTATACTTATCATACAAACTCTAGATATAGAAATCTGTATCATATACTCGAGTACACATATTCCATCTCCATCCCTGCTCTGAAGTCTGTATACCTATATTCTCTCTACTGATAGTGGGACTGGCACTGGCACTAGCACTCCTCTTTTTTGAAAAGATCTAGCCTTCGCTATAATGTAGCACTACCAACTCTACGTCTATACCTACCTATCATGTACTCATCTACTCCTTTTCAATTAAATAGATAAAATATATATACATGTACCTCCGTTCCCCATCCATCCCATCACATCCCATCCATCTATCCCGCTCATTCATCCCATCCATTCTATCCATCCCATCCATTCTGCCCTCATCTATCCTCTTTAATTTTTGCTTTCCTAGTACTTTACTTTACTCTCCTCTACCCTCTTCACCCTCCTCACACGATCATTTATCATTTATTATTTATCATTTAATATCTACTATCTACCATATATACATCTCCATTCATTTCCAGGTTCCAACCCTTTCTATGCCTCATTACTCATCACTCATCACTCATTTGCTCATTCGTTTAAGTTTTTACCATTTGATATTCACCTGATTCGTTTACCATCTTCGGCTACTCGATTCAGTTTCTTTTTCAATTACTGAATCTATTCACTTTCTGTATCTACTGCATACCTATTCACTCTCCTCATTCCATCTCATATTCAAACCATCCCATCTCTTTCCCTCCTCCCCTCTTCCCCTTACCACATAATCCCCCCTTCCCCCACCCCATAGTTCCTCCTCTCTTCCTCTCTCCTCCTCCTTCCT